ACTGAGATTGTGCTCAATTTCCGTATCTATACACCACATACTGTGATTGTGTTCAGATACGCCCATTCCCCTTCTCTTGTCCTTCCTCCAGCCTCTCCTTCTTCTCAGACTCTTTAAAAAGCAAACAACAACAAAACACCTCTAGAGTCTAGATATGATAGAAAAGGTGTGACCATTTGCTTCCCACGTCCGCCTTGCTTCTCTTACCACCACAGCTCCATTTCTGTGAAAACAACCCACTTTTGCTCTTTATGGTTGACTAATACTCCACTGTGAATCCTACCACACTTCCTTACAGACCCAGGCTGATCGGTAAGTTGGCTATTGTGAGCGGTGCTGCAGCCAACAGATTTAAGGCATCTCTACAGGATTCCAACCTCAGTTACTCTATGTATAAGCCCCAGGAACGGGACAGCTAGATCCTGCAGGTAATTCTAGTTTTAGATTTTTGAGGAACCTCCATTCTGACTTCCACGGTGGCTGTTCTAATTCACAGTCCCACCAGCACATGGGTCCATTTCTCTCCCAGATCCTCACCACCCTTTGTCGCTCACTTTCTTTTTAGATTTACTTTATTCTATGTGCATGAATGTCTTGCCTGTATGTATGTATGTGTACCATATGCATGCCTGGTGCCCTTAGAGGTCCAAAGAAGGCGTCAGATCCCCTGAAGCTGAAGTTAGAGATGGTTGTGAGCCAGCACATGGGTGCTGGGAACTGAACCCCAGTCCTGTACAAGAGCAGCAAACGCTCTTAACCACTAAGCCACCTCTCCTGCCCCCACTTTTTGTTTTCTTAATGATAGCCACTCTTACTAGGGTAAGATGGAATCTCAACCTAATTTCTAGTTGTATCTGCCTGATAATACCTTAAAGATTTTCACATATTTATTGGCCATTTATACTTCTTCATCTGAGAACTCCTGAATTCATCTGTCTACTTATTGATTTATTTTGTGTGTTTAATTTTATTTCAGTTCTTTAATATGGACACTAATCTTGAACAATGAACAAGGACCTGCCAAAGACTTTCTCCACCCTCTGTAGCTTCTTGCAATCCCATCTGTCAACTGCTGCTACGTGATGGACTATCAGAGTCAGCTTCAGATTTCCAGGTCTTCCCCAGGATGTCTTCTCTAGCTGCTCCGGCTTTGCGTACATCACACTGATCTTTGAGCACCGTCTTAAAGCCCGTGTTTAGATGGTGGCTTCCTTACTATATAAAGGGGATGGATGCATCTCTTGTCCTCCACCCAAGTCCTATGAAGGTGAATTATTTGTCTCCTTTGCCCCTGGGGAAGTTTTAAGACCCTGAGTCTTGGTTTCTTAGTGAATATTTCAAACAAATGTTTATTTTTACTGTAAAACTGTTTTCAAGGTATGCTAGAGAGATACATGATCATAAACATGGGAAAGAGGTGCAAACTGTTCAAAAAACCTTCACACAACATCATGTCTTCCCAGACTGCCAAAAAATCTTATAAGCCAGCCATGACTACAATAAAGAAAACTGACCGTCAAAGTCTGTGCATCTCAAACAAGGGCACCTTCCACATTTTTTAAAAATCTAACTATATATGTGAGACCTTCACCAACTGGCTCACCTGAAGAAAAAGAACCATGACCAGGGTCACTTCAAGCCCACTTCACATTAGAGCACCAGAAAGAAAGAAAATTTGTTGCAAAAATTTCCCGGTAGAATTATGAACTCAAGAACCTGTCATTATGAGGCATTATTCCTTAACACCTGCCTTGGGTAAGGAAAATAACTGTCAACAGCTCTTCTAGATGGTTAGGATAAAAGGCTATTACGCTCTCATTTGAGAAGGAAAACAACTTTAAATCAACAGACTGACACCTGTCAGGCCTGGTTATTCTCTCATCTATAATGTCAGCATCTGGAAGGCTAAGGCAGGAGATTGCTGTGTTCAAGGCCAGACACATACCAGAACACGGTCTGGGGTAGGGGGAGATATATAGAGACAGACAGACAGACAGACGGAGAGACTGAGACTTGATTCAAATTTAGGTTTACCCATCAGTCATTTGTGATCAGTTCCTAACTGATTTTGACCAGTCACTTTCTGCCACTAGAAATCACGATCTCCACCCACTAGAGACTTCATTTAAAACAATGTTAGCTGTGCTCCTTTAGCACTCATCTGGCTCAAGCGTCACATCTGAGTTCTTGAACTACATCCCATCAGACCCACTTTAGATGCTCTCTAAGGAAGGCTCCAGGTGGCCCGACCCTTCGCCCTTCCTCACTGTACGGATGCTGCTCTCATACCAAAAGGTGGAGGCTACTTCCTCTTCCTCTGAACACAGGCTGGCTTGGACTACCAAAACCAAGTAGGAAAGTCATCATGTGCATTCCAAAGGTACCCTCTAGGAAAGGCACTTCCTTCCTCTTTCCAAGCTGAGCTAAGCGCCATACAAAGAATCCCCCTGTCTCTGCAGCTGCCAAGCCTCATCTTTGTGCCATGGACATTGGTTCATGTAGAAACCCACAATTGGTAAAAGCGCAAAGAACACACATCTGTGAGGTGCTCAGCCACAAATGGGACATCTGCATTACACCCCCCTCCCCCCAAAAAAAGATTCAAGAATCATAATGGATGAAGGAGTAGAAAGACCGTAAGTGCCGGAGGGTGGGTAGGACAGACTGAAATGAAAGTATATTCTGGGCACTATATTCTAGGATCACTGCATTCATGAACTCATAGTCAACACAAGACCCGAACAAAACCAAGACAGTCAACATTCCAGCGTGGTGGGGGGATGGGCTCACAGCCCCACAGCTGAAGAGCCATTGGTGGCTGATTGCTGCTGGAGGCAGAGGCTAATCAGTTTTCTTTAGGGATGAAGGTCCTGGAAGATGGATCATGCTCCAGTGAATGGTCCCATGTCCGTGAAGACACAGGAAGCAAAAAGGGGACTCAGTGGGTCATACGGCCCTGAAGTTGGGGTGGGGTGGGGGATGAAGGTGGAAGACTTAGGGGGAGGAGGAGGGGTGGACATGATCAAAACGCATTGTATGCATTATGAAAGTCTCAAAGGGCTGGTGAAAATATATTTCTAAAAATTCTACTATTTTGAGACTACTAAGAAAAAACATAAGATGGCCATCAAGAAGGGCCATCTTATATATTCCACTCCCCCAAGGCAAACACATCACAGGAGTGAAGAGGCCATTTTAGACACGGCCTCCCTAGATAACTAGAGCAGAACCAATCCATATGTGGGATGTCTTTCTGTACATTGTGAATACGTGTTGCTCTGATTGGTTGATAAATAAAGCTGTTTGGTCTATGGCAAGGCAGCTTAGAGGCAGGCGGAAAACCCAGGAGAGAAACAGGAAAAAGAAAGGCAGAGGTGGAGGAGATGCCATCCTGCCGTCCAGGAAGCAGCATGTAATGGCACACAGGTAAAGCCACGGACCATGTGGTAACATTTAGATTAATAGAAATGGGCTGAGTTCAGTTATAAGAGCTAGTTAGCAAGAAAATTGAGCTAGAGGCCATGGCCATGCAGTTTGTAATTAATATAAGCCCCTGTGTGTTTACTTGTCCAAGCGGCTGCAGGAAGGGCGGGACATAGGAAAACTTTCAACTACACCAGTCAGCTGGCCCTTGACCAGAATTCAGAACTGTGAGACACAATCAACACAGTTAAGTTACTAGACTTCTGGGTGGTTTGTTACTCAACAGACCAATGAAACATGGTTGTAAGAGAGCAGAAGCAGCTGAGCGGCACAGTACTGAAGAATGTTGCACCCGCAGGACAGAGCACTCCTCAGAGACAGTCTGCTGCAACCTGGTTTCTATCATCACCTTCTATTCAGTCGGTGGCCTAAAGAGGTCATGCACGTAAAATGGATAAAAAGTGAGTATCAGCCAGATCCCAAACACAACCTATAGTGTCCTCCCTTCATGAAAAATATTCTACCAGTCATTTAAGGGCTCAGCATAAATATTTACCTATCTATCAAGACACTTAATAACACACATCTGCCACTCAGCAAGCAATACAGTCTGATGAAGAAGGAAATAAGTTCTCATAGCATAACCAGTACTCCATCTAGAAGGCCATTCAGAGAAGAGCACTGAATTCCAGGACGACATGAAAGAAAAGAGCAGAGGGTCCAAATCCAATAAAACAGAACATCGAACAAAGGTGTATCGGACTTTACACAGAAACAGCAAAAGATGAATTCAAGTTGTACTCAGAACGAACAAGAGAGAGAGAGAGAGAGAGAGAGAGAGAGAGAGAGAGAGAGAGAGAGACCTAAAGATAAAACCAAAACACAACTAATGAGATCAGCTTTGCTTTAAAACACAGGGATGGATTGGAATGGAGCTCTGTTGGTAGGGTGCTTGCCTCACATGTACCAAGCCCTGGGCTGGCTCCAGCACTGACTAAAGCCTGGTGGCACATGCCTAGAACCCCAGCACTTGGAAGGTGGAGGAGGGGAAAATCAATGGTTCGGGGGTCATCCTCAGAAGCATAACAAGTTCCAGACCAGCCTGGGATACATGAGGTCATGACGATCGATAGATGATAGATAGACAGACAGACAGACAGACAGACAGATAGGGCCTAGAAGTAAGCACAGTTGCTATGTCAAAAACTGCCTTTGAACTCAATTGACTTCCACTTAAACACTAACACCCCACCACTTTAATCAATCAGGGGGTAAAAACCGGTCACAGAAAGAACAGGACTTGCATAGTAGGAGACCTTCCCTATCACTACTTAAAAACCAAGGCTGGACTCCATCAGGTTAGATTCCCTGGGGGTATAGTGGATTTGTCAGAAATGGAGCAGCCACCATTAATGCCACAGCTACCGTCCTCACTGCCTTATTCTAAGTCCAGTCTCCACAATCCACTTGTCTGGACAATCCACTTGTTTATAACATGCTTCCCATTTTGATTTTCTTACTGGGAAAAGATGCAAAGCAAACAAATAGTCAGATTGACTTTTTTTATTGAAATCCCAACATACTTTAATAAAACAGTATTTTGCTTTTCTTGTGGAGTCAGCAAATGCATGTCAGTTTCCTTGAGTCTGAACAACTCTGGTCATATTGATCAACTATCTGGTCTACGGACCTGAAAAGCTAATATTTGACCCTATAATTCAGTAATCTTAAAACAATGTCCAAGACCTGTTTTAACAGCTGGTTCCATTATCTAGCACTCTCCTGCAGGCACATGCCTTTTCCTCTAATAGATTTTGAGTTCCTTTAAGGCCAAGAGGCATCTCCCTCTTACTTGTATCTCTGAGATAAATACTTGATAAATGTTTCAGGAATGAATGAATAAAGCAGTTAATGGGGATAGAAAAAGGAAACCGCCAATCACCATCCATTACTTGCATATAAGGCTTTCCTATTAAGACAAAAGCTCTCTGACCCATTACAGAAATTGACAAGGGATGTCTATAGCACAAGCAGATGTTCTATTTTAACCTCTCTATAGATTTTGTGTATTAAAAGTCACATCCAGACGATAGTCTTCTCTACGCCAAACCAATTAACATTAAATTTCTATAGTTTTATTTATCAGGTTTATAAAAAGTTCAAAATCAATCTCCTAAGAGTCACACTCCGTGAGTACCAGAGCCCTTCCAAACAATGAGCTAAGTTTCGTTCTAATACTGTAGTTCTTTTTTGGGGTTGTGTGGACAGGCTTTTACCATATAGCACAGGCTGGCCCTCAGCCCATGACCTTCCTGCTTCAGCCTGAGTGCTGCTGAGACTAAAGGTGTGTGCAGCCATGCTGAGCTCATATCCTCCGCATTCCTATCCATAATAATTATTTTTGCCAAAGGATGGGTCTTTATCCTATTTCCAAAAATCAACATCAAAAATGGCAAATAGCAATCCCACTGTTTTCTTAATGAGGCTCCTGTTTGCTTTGTAACATTACGTAAATCACCTAATCTTTCATAGTTTATTTTCCTCATCTACAGCAATGGGGACAGTCATTACTCTTTCTCTGGGGAATCTTAGAGGTTAAAGGGGGGTTGATGCAATGTAACTTCCAAGTCTACACTAATTCAAGATAGTTTATAAGGCACTCTAACACAAATGGCCAGCCCCAGTCTTTGAATATTTAGAAATAAATTACACTCATCCCTCAGTGACCTTGAAGAACTAGGTCCAGGACCTCCCATATCTATAAAGCCCAGAGATACTCAAGTCCTTTACCTTAGGTGGGTATCTGAATAGATCCCGTGCAATTTCTC